GGGGGAGGGAGGGCGAAGCGGGGGGGGGGGATGAAAAGTAAGGAGCACAAAATACCCCTCTCCCTACAGCCCGCAGCACTGGCCATGCTCAAGCGCTGCATGCCATCGCCACAGGTCCAACACAGCGGCTTCCCCTCTTTGCCAGGGGCCAAGACACCGCTCATCCTGGCACCCAGCTCCCCGTGAGCCCCTATCTGCTGCCCAGGGAGTGAGAGCATGTGCAAGGAAATGCCCTGTCTGCACCCCCTTCCCATGGGGCTCCCCGTGAGGAGCTCTCCCCCATTCCCCACGCTCCTTCCGTGGCTGCGGAAATTGGCAGCAAATTATCAGCAAATCCACCCAGTTCCTCTCCGCCTATGAGAGGTGTGAAGTCCCAAACCTGGACGCCCACTTAAAGAAGTGTGAGCTAAATCCATGCTCAGGACAGTCCCTCCGGAGCCCTGCTGTCTGGCTTATCTCAGCTCCCACTTTATTTTAGGGAAAGTGCTGATGGCTACGGCCACAGGAAATCCAGGAGGTGGAAATTACAGAGTGTTTTGCCCTCCACACCCACTGCTGGGACACGTCAAGGAGATGGGGGGACCACGCAGGAGCCACTGGCCTCTCGGTGGGCTTTGAATGGATACTGATTTTTCTGTTCACCTGCATCCTTGCAAAAGGCTGAGGGCCGGGGACCACAGAGCCCCCCATGATGCGGAGAGGGGGTGAGCATCGGCAGGGGCAGAGCAGTTGGGCTGTCCCATCCGTCCGCCCGGCTGGTGTTGCTGAATGACGTAATGCTTGAGCGAAAACACACGCGGTTGTTAAACACGAGCTCTCTGCTCGAGAGGAGCGTCACGGGAGCAGATGGACGCCGGGACGAGCAGCTTTGCAGCGGTTCCAGCGGCCTCAGGGCTGCGATGTGGCCCGCAGGGATGCAGATCCCCGGTCGGGGCTGGCTGGCTGGGCGTCCAGGCAATGCATCCTCGACGTGTGTGTCTGCAAAACATGCAGAGAGCAGGGCTGGGAAAGTGGCCTTGCTGGGAATCGTAACTGGGGCAGCTGGCCGTCTCCAGCAGCTTCCATCTCTTGCCAGTGAAATGGCTCTGACTTTTGAAAGTGTGTTTTGTACCTAGAAAGAATAGATGCGAGGCAAGATCTCCCCACCCCTGGCACTCACGCTGGGGAACGGGATCCAAGCCCTTTGCAATTTGGCCAGGGCAGAGCCGAGTGCTTCACGAGCTGCCCGCAGGGAAGGGCTGGGAGCGTTCCCTGAAGTTTGCAAAGTGTCGGGGAAAAGCTGTGCAATTTGGCCCATGCTGGGAAGGCACGGATATGGGTATGGTCTGATGAGAAAGGGGGAAAGCAGAAAACGTTTCTCGCAGGGGTGCCCGCATGGAAAAGAGGGGGTTTGCTGCATAGTGCAATATCCAGCCCCCCACGAGGGCTGGAGCAAGAGTACCTGGGACCGCATCCAGCACCTGCCTGTACCAGCACAGAGGTGGGTGAAGGGCTGGGGGCTTTGCTGGGAGCTGTGGCAGCTCTGGGGAGGATGCTTCCTGCAACCGGTCCCCGGTGCAGGTCCCATCACGGTGACTGGCAGGTGTAGGTCACACGCGGTTCCCCTAAATTCTGACATAGTTACTGGTGGAGATGCCAAACAGCTTTACCCTGCTGTTGCACAGAGAGAGCTGTCCCGGGAGTAACACTGACACGCAAAACACAGAAGTAAACAGCCCTTTGCCATAGCTACGGAGGAGCCCTGCACCTGCCCCCCCCCAGGACCCAAATCCTGCTCCGAGTGCTGTTGACAGCGTTGTCATAGGAAACGCTGTTCGCTAACGGGGTGTGACGGGGCTTTATGGTGCCTGTGCAGGAGCACATGGGATGCGCTCAAAGGAAAGGTATGTGTGAGGGGCAGATCACAGAAACACGGGTGGAAGAGGCCCTCCGAGGTGTCCAGCCCAGGCGCTGGCTCCCAGCAGCAGTGTTGCCAGCACTGACTCGGGGCAGTCTTGGCTGCAAATCCTCCAAGGATGGGGATCCCCCACCTCTGCGAGGACCTGTCTTGGGGCTGCACCACCCTCCTGGGGAAGAAATTTTCCTGATCTGGACCTAAGATGTGTTTGCAGTTGGGGATATCCTGAAATGCCCAGGGCAGCGCCCACGGGAAGCCCTGCATCAGCTCATGCGAGAAGAGGCAGAGAGCAGACATGCCATGCAGGCAATGATGGAGAAGGGGTCCAGTGCACTGCATTTGGATGCAGACATCCTGGCAAACTGGAGGAGAGAGGATTGCTCACCCCAAAGTAGATGGCCGTGAGCAGGACACATCACACTCGTGTCCTGTGGTTGCATTTCTGCAAGGGACCAGCCACGGCAGCCAGTGCTGGGAGAGATGCAGCTGCCGGGACCGAGGGGCAGGGAGAGGTTGGGGACGCAGCGGAGTCACTGCAGGTCCTCGCTGCTGCCGTGCACCGACGCTGGGGTTGCAATAGCATGGTCTTGTCACAGTCTCAGTGAAGCTGAGGCTGACATGTGGGTTTGGTCCATCCAGCCTGACTGGCATCGTGTGGGCCAAAATTTTCATTTCACCTGCCCATCCCTGTACTGAGCAAGTGCCCCATGTTTGGCCACAGTGTGTCTTCCAAAAAAGCAGTGCAGCCTTCATCTAAAGCACCAAGGGACAGGGAAGCTGCCTCTTCCCAAGGTTGAGCATCTTTATGTTTTCCTGCCTTGGTTCACCAGCTGTTAATTGTTAACTAACATGTTATCACCCCTGTAGCTGCTGCAAAAAGAAAGCTCCAAACTAAAGAGGCTGTCTCAAATGGTGACCACTGTAAGTCTGCCTGCTACAGCATCCCAGAGAAATGCCTCCCAGGACATGGGGCAGGAGGAGGAGGCAGGTTTTGAGGCACAGACAGGGCTCTGTAGTACCTGGGAATGAAGTCAAGTCTCTGCTCAGTCTTATTTTTGGCAAGTGAAACCTTCAGGCTTGTCAAGTCCCTCATTCAGAGGTATTTTCACCAGCCCACAGTTGTCTCCGTGGCTCTCTTCTGAGCTAGCTCTGACATTTGCAGCCAGGTCTGAGCAGTGGGCAGCAGGAAGGTGACCAGTCAACGCCCCAGCACGTGGCTGTAGCTCTGGTGTTTTCTGGCCACAAACCGGATAACCCCTGCCCATCGGCAGGCATGCTGGGGGCAGCCAAACGGGAGGGCAGGAGTGGGAGGCCAGGGTGGAGTGTGTGCTTGGGCTGGTGCATGGTGGGAGCTCTGGAGCAGGGAAACATCACCCCCTTCTCACTCGGCCATCCAAGAGTCACAGCTTTGGTCTCAAGACTGGGCTGGACAGGTGGCTATTAAAAGACTATAATCTCTTTTGAGGACTGTTGGCTACTCCAAGCATGGTCCAGGGATGGGGTCTCCATCCCTCACTCCCCTGTGCATCCCATCACATCTGCCCCATGTGTTCCCTGGGGAGAACATTCAAACACTCCGCGTGCAGCCCACGATGCATCTCCATGGGACATCCAGCTGGCAACCACCCAGCACTGCTGACGGAGCTATCCCATCCCTGGCATGAGGCTGGAAGCCACC